GCTCTCCTTATATATATATATATATCTCCAGAGCTATAGAAGGAGGCAACAGGAAAGATCCCTTGAAGCTCACTGCTTTCAGAGCCTTACTTTATCTTGAGCTTTTGTGAAATACATGCTAGGCAAGCATATGGCCTAAACCTTCCCTAATATAGATTTATTTCCAAGGCGTGGACAGGAGCCAGATTTAGGCCCACGGGCTATTTGTCCAACAAGACATTTGGCTCCTTCCTGGCCCAGGCAGTGAACAGACATAGGGCTACACCAGCTGATTCTTGGACTAAGCAATTGGAAAACATTAAGAGTCTCAGAAGAAAGCAAACTGTGGTCATTGCTCATCAAGACTGTCATCAGCTCAGTTCTGTACTGGCAAGGACTCTGTTGAGCATGGAGAAGGTCTTGGCGAGTCAGGCCAATGGGAAAACCATTCCTTACCATCTGTGGGTTCTAGGGAAATGCCAGCACCCCATCTGGTACTTCCCTTCTCTCTGTCCTTGACCACAACATCCCTCAGTAGAAGTCCAACTCAGGTCCCCAAGTTTCCTCTTTCAAGAAGGGCTAATATTTATGAAATAATTAAAGATCAGGAATGTATGATCAACTCCATATTATAAGTCATTTTCCACTAGAGTCAAACAAAACTGATCTTCCAGTTTCCCATCTCTATCCCTTTGCTATACAGATGTTTCTTGACTTACAATGGGTCACATCCTGATGAACCCATTATAAGTTGAAAATATCATAAGTCAAAATGCACTGAATACACCAGATACACCAAACGTCCTAGCTTAGCAATGCAGTACATTGTGAAGTACAGGTTATTTGCCCTCGCGATTGGGTGGCTGGTTGGGAGCTGTGGATCCCTGCTGCTGTCCAGCAACCAGAGAGCATCACACTGAATATTGTCAGCCTGGGATAAGATCAAAAATTAAAATCTGAAGTACTGTTGCTACTGAATGCATTTCACTTTTATACAATCTTAAAGTCAAAAACTCCTAGGTTGAACATTATATGGAAGGGACCATCTGTATAGCCAAACATCTGACCAGGAAAGGTATGATTGAAAATTAAATCTAATTGATGGGGCATTTGATTTCCTCGTTGGTAATCCTAAAGACCTCTATTTTAGAATAGAATAAGGAAAGCAAGACTATTAAGAGAGTCACTGGGGATGCCCTTAATGATTGTATCCTTGTTCCCTAGATCTCTTTGACAATTATATAGGCAGCTGTAAAGGAAGAGTGAATGGATTGTTACGAGGCCTTAATACCTACAGATATTAAACTGAATTATGTTCAAGAGCCAAACCCCTGGGATAGCAGTGGTACTGTGGGAGGCTAGGAGAGCAGTGTTATATGACTATGAGACAAGATCAAAACATAAAGCAATAGTGATGGCACCAATAAAGTGACTGCAAAGTAATAGTTATTGTTACAGAAAGGACTGTGAAAAAAAAAGGTAACAAACAGTTAAGAGAATGGCAGACGGGGGATAACGATTTTTGGCTCATGATATTTTAACTGAAACCAGGAGATTTATGAAACAATCTAAGGATAAAGTCTTTTTTATTTTTAAGGGAACTGTCATAAATTTTTATGGACTTACAAGTTGGATACTCTCCAAAAGACAGAAAAATCAAACAATTTGCATAGATAGGTCTGGCAGTTCTAGCACATTGCAGACTTCCTAATGTGGACCACTTTCTACCTTGCCCTAATTTACAAACAAAAATGCTAGAGAACATATATGGCCCACAATGAGATACCATTCTACACCTCTTAGGTGGCCATTATCAAAAGATAACAACAGTTAGAGAAGATAATGCTGAGTAAAGTTAGCCAATCCCAAAAATCCAAATGCCGAATGTTTTCTTTGATATAAGGAGGCAGATTCACAGTGGGCTAGGGAGAGGGAGCATGGGAGGAGTAGATGATAGATAGGGCAGAGGGGTGGAAGGGGAAGGGGGGGGCATGGGGTAATTAATGATGGTTGGATGTGATTATCATTATTATCCAAAGTACAGGTATGAAGATACAAATTGGTGTGAATATACTTTGTATACAACCGGAGATATGAAAAATTGTGCTCTAAATGTGTAATAAAAATCATAATGCATTCCTCTGTCATATATAAAGAAAGAAGAAAAAATAAAGTGATATGTACCAGTAAAAAAAATAAATAAATAAAAATGTTTGCTAAAAAAAAAAAAAAAAGATAACAGTGGAGATGAACAGAAATTGAATCCTTGTATATTGCTGGTGGGTACGCAAAATGTATGGTAATTCCCCCCAATATTAAAAACAGAAATTACCATGTGATCCAACAATTCCACTTGTGGGCATATATTCAAAAGAACCGAAAGCAGAAAATGTGCTCTGCTCAGGGATGCTATATGAAATTGAAACCCTAGGTCTACACCATGCTCAGGTGTGGATGATGAAATTATAATACCTGAGATTTAAAAAAAAGGGTAAAAGTAAGTGCTATGCTTTATAAATTGCCAATGAAAGTGCAGAAAACAATGGACTAATTTTTGAAAAGTGCTGAGAAAAAAACAACAGAACTCAGAATTCTCTGCGCAGGTAAATTAGCAATGAAAATAGTAAGGCACAATAAAGAATTTTTTGAGGGAAACAGACCTACACAAGAAGGACTAAAGATACGTGAGGGTGTATGTATGTGTGTGTGTGTGTGTGTGTGTGTGTATATATATATATATATATATATATACTTACATACACACACAAATATATGTGTATACACATATATATAATATATATTATATGTTATCTTTTTATAATAATATATATCTTACATATATATGTAAGATATATAATGTATATATCTAGAGAAAGTGAAAAATAAAGTGTTATGTTTTGGTTGTGAGGATTCCCCCAAGAGCTCATGTGTGAGACAATGTAAGAGGATTTAGAGGAGAAATGACTGGATTATGAGAGCCTTAACCCAATCAGTGAATTAACCCCTATTGGGGATGAACTGAGTGGTAACGGAAGGCAGGTAGGGTATGGCTGGAGGAGGTGGGTCACTGGGGGGCGTGCCTTTGGGGTATTCATTTTGTATCTCCTCAGTGGAGTTTCTCTCCCCCTTCCTGATCATCATGCTTCCATCCACTACACTCTTCCTCCCTGATGTCCTGCCCCACCTTGAACCCCAAGGAATGGGGCTGGCTCTCTATGGACTGAGACCTCTGAAACCATGATCCCCCCAAGTAAACTTGTCCTCTGCTAAAATTGTTCTTGTCAGGTCTTCTAGTCACAGCAGCGAAAAAGCTGACAAAAGCAGAAAGTGAGCCCAAAAAGAAGAAAATAGTTGCAAGAAAGGTACTATTGAACAAAGAAATTAATAAACATGAAAAACCCAATAGGAACTGACTTTATAAAACAATAATTATTATTATAAGACTAATTTAGGGAATTTAAAAACAAAATGGAACTAAAATGCTGAATAAGAAAACACAAGCCAGGCACATACATGCCTGTAATCCCAGGTACTAGGGAGGTTGAAGCAGGAGGACTGTGAGTTCAAACCTAGCTTCAGCAACTCAGTGAGACCTTGTCTCAAAATTAAAAATAAAAAGGGCTGGGGATGTAACTCAGTGGTAGAGTGCCCCGGGTTCAACCCCTAGTGGAAGTAAGTGGAAAATAAAAGCAGCAAAAGCATATCTATAGGATAACTACTTATACTTTTCAAGCCAAAAAAGAATATCTTTACACTGTCCCAGATATTTGCACATATATTAAAAACAAAAAAATGCACAGGGGTCAAAGATTATCTCTAGGGGTAAAGGATAGGAAAAGCAAATGATGGGGTATGAGTGGTTAAAAATGATGCTTTAATTAACATTCACACTTTAATTTCTTAAAAAGAAAATCAAAAACAAACATGGCAAAATGTTACTATTGATTAAAGCTAGGTAAAGGGTACAAAGTGTTTATTATTTGCTCTCCTTTTTCTACATTTTAAATATTTCCTAATTTAAACATTTTACATAGAAAAGGTCCAGCAATATGCATGGTATGTCCATTTTAAAAGTCCTATACTACAGAATAAGGCATAGGTTTAAAAAGGAGATCTTTGTTTATAATAAAAAAGTTAAAAATAGAATTATATTATTTATAAACATAAAATTTATAATAGAAATAGGATATTGTTTGATTTATTTTCAAAATAAATTGAAGTGTAACCATACAATGAAATGCCACATAAGACAGTTCAGAAGTTTAATTATTGACTTGGAAAGATATTGACAACATTTCAAGTGAAAAAAAATGACTATAAAATTATAGGTGTTAAACTAGGGGAAACCTACATGCACAAATAGATCAAAGATCCATTAATGTACCTACCATATTTTAATCCCTTAGACCCATGAAAAGTTAACCAAAAGGAACCTAACAACAATTAAAAAGTATAATAGATTAATTCTAGAGTTTGGAACATGAAAGATATTACTGTAATACCTATATAAGGGGAATGAAGGGAAGGGAGGGGGATGGGAGGAAAGATAGTAGAGTGAATCAGACATAACTTTCCTATGTTAATATAGGAATACATGATCAGTGTAACTCCACGTTATGTGCAACTACAAGAATGGGAAGTTATGGGCTGAGGTTGTGGCTCAGTGGTACAGCGCTTGCCTAGTATGTGTGAGACACTGGGTTTGAGTCTCAATACCACATATAAATAAATAAAAAATAAAGGTCCATTAACAACTAAAAAATAACTTAAAAAAGAATGGGAAGTTATTATACTCAATGTATGTGTAATATGTCAAAATACATTCTACTGTCATGCACAACTAAAAAGAACCAAAAAAAAAAAAAAAAACAGAGGCATTCAAAGCCCAAAACAATTATTTTAAAGAATTGATGCTAACAATATCCACCTTTTCAGGTGAAAGTACTTCATTATATATTCAGATCTGAATTAGCACAGTAACCTAAGTTGTTGATCACACATAAAATCAAATACACAAAAGAGCCAGGTAAAATATAAGATATCTATTAAATAAATATCAGGTAATGTAAATCAATGCAATCCATAAAGTGATGCTATATTTATGAAAGGAAAGAGTGGCAACAAGAATTTACTGAAGGACTTTCAAGACAGCAAACAGTTTGTCTTACTACGTTTATACCCTCTGATAAATGGGGAATTGATTTAGATTCTAAAACCTGTGCTGCATATTTGAATAATTAAAAGTTATCACAAAATATCTAACAATCATAATAGATTCTATTTTATAAAAATTGCAATAGCTTACAAAACACAGAGTAAGGAGTTAGGACTCTGAAAAAAATTTTCCATTATATCCTTTTACTGTGAAAACATTTCTTGGGCTCTTTATAATTTGATGATCTTTGAGACGATTTAAACCATAATATATAAGCTACATTTATTTTGTAAAAATTAAGAATGGCCCAGGCTATCCAACAACAGTTGAATGTCAGATGCCCTGAATTGTCTTCCAGAAGAGTTGGATTTCATTTCATCACCCTTTGAGAGAAGACATCCCAGCTCGCATAATTTCATCAACCAGGAGAATGTTGGTGGCAATCACTGTGCTAAGGGAAGAGATGAGAGTGAGTAAAGCCTCTACCCTGTGCTTATCCTTCCCCAGAAACCTGCAGCTATGAAGCACTTTTTCCTTCAATTATGTTAGTGTGAGATTTTACAAGGCAAAGCTATTATAAATACAAATCATGCTTTGTATCACAATTCAACTCCTTCGCTGATAAGGTGGAAGACTGATTTATATTCCTGCAAAACTAGGCTTATTGTTAAGCACATGGTTTGATTTTCCACACAATGCAGATGGTACTATTTCAGAAAAGTTTGCTCTTTCCTTTCCCCCTCAGACAGTGAGATTAACCTTTCCTACAGCTAATACTGCTACAACCAAAATATAAAAGGGAATGTAAAATTATAGAAGCTAGTTTTAATAACTGGGTCATACCTTCTCAAGTGCTTGACAATTTTTCCACTGTATGGTCACAAAAATAATAGAAATATTTTAATGTTATCAATTATACACTTAATGATATTTCTCTTTATGTTACTACCAACTTACCAAGAGTGAAGAAGTTGTTTTTTCACACAATAATTATCCCAAACTCCTGTATCTGCTGGTACCATTGACTCCCCTGCAAAGTAAACATACACACACACACACACACACATATATATATATATATATATTCTTTTTTTTTTTTAAACAGTGCTGGGGATTGAACTCAGAGCCTTGCTCATGGTTCAGTGTAGGCAAGTGATAGGCAAGTGCTCTACCACTGAGCTACAACCCCAGCTTCAAATAAAACATTTAAATACTATGCTGTACTCAATCAGTGTTGATTGGTATAGTCTGACAATATTTAATACTACTTTTGTCAGAGTCATCAATGACCTCCATGTTGTTAAATCCAGTGGTCAATTTCCAGGCCTCATCCAGCAGCAGAATTTAACACAGCTGATAACACCCTCTTGTATTTTGTCCTCCAGGACACCACACTCTCCTATTTTTCTTTCTTTTGTACTAATGGTTCCTTTTCCCTGAGCTCTTAATGTTGGAGTACTCAAAGGTTCAATCCATTATTCTTCTCTTCTTTCTCTGCACTTACCCCCAAGGTGACCTCATCCAGTTTCCTAGATTTAAACGGTACACCCTCATGACTCTGGATGTTTTAAGAGATCTAAAAGTAAACTAGAGGCATCCAATATTTAAGTAATAAATTCACCCAAACACCCACCCCTTACTATAAGATCTGGATCAATGAAGAATATCTTCTTTCTTTATTAAGCAATTAATTTTTCTCCAGTTTCTTACCTGTATTCAAATCTATGCCAACCAGTTGCTTTGATTTTGAATGCTCAGCCTGAATTTTTACTAGTGTTTCCTGCAAGTCATAACCAGAATTCTGAGCCAGAACCTTTATGAATAAAAATAATAATAAATACATGTGTTAAATACCTTTACATATATATTTTAACACCAAATATAAAATTAATTCACTATTAGTCTTTTGAAAATATATCCACAATACAGTAATCATTTCCTTTTGAAGAACTCCATCCTTAAACTACATCAAAATATTGTCTATTTAGTAGTGTTTTTATTTATTTAAGCATTTCCCCTATGCACCTCACACTAAATTCTGAGGACACTTGAGTTCCCTCACCCCATTAATTTCCTTTCTTGAAAAATTCTTTTAAATGTGGAAAAAAGGAGAATAGTATTCTTTCTCTAGTCCTCTAGCCACATGTCCCTCAATTTCTCCTAGCCACTTGCCAAAGAAAGCATATTTGCAGCCCTTTTTTGCCCCTCATCTTCAGGAAGACAGCCATGACCTGTGGTAAAAGGGAGAGAGACATCCGCACTCCAAAACAGGCTCATGTCAAGGTGGTCCCCAACAAATGGCTGATAAAGCTACCAAGAGAATAATCTGGCTATTTCATGAAACTCCTAAAAGGATCTGAGCTATTAACCCAAAAATTTCCCTGCTTGAGTGTAAAATATATAAAACTGTGTGAGGATTTACAAATTAGCACCTGTCTTTCTCCTCTGCTAACTGTTCAACAGTATGGACAATATGCAATTAAACATCTTTAGATCTAACCAGTTATTATTTGGCCAGTAGAATGGTTGTACCTTGGGAATAATGAGTAAGGCATCAGCAAAAGCTTGGACTCCAAGACGAGCTCTTCCCTTTACACTGTGCTTGTGCTTAACAAGAGCTTCAGCTATTGCCACTTCAACTGCACCAGCCCCTGGAACCACACAACCTATCCAAGGAAAAAATGATTGGCAAGATACACCATATAGGAAAAGAGAGGAAGAGGAAAATGCAATCAGCCAAGCAAACATGATCTATTACCTTGCCTACCCCTACAATATTTTTAAGTATATACAGAAGTCAAATAAATCACACAGCTGAGTAATTAGTTGTCCTACAAAGCATTATGAAATTAAATAATTAAGGATGGTAGCACTGGAGTTGTGGCTTAGTGGTAGAGCACTTGCCTAGCATGGGTGAGCACTGGATTTGATTCTAAGGACCACATATAAATAAATAAAATAAAGGTCCATCAATAACTAATAAAAATATTTTTAAAAAATAATAATTAAGCATGGTATAGATAAATGGCTATAAATATCTAATTTCATTTTTTATTTTCTGGCAAATAAATTGTAGATTTTTTTTTTCACTTTCACCTTCATCTTATTCTTCTATGACTACATGGAAAAGGTAGCTATTCATAATTTATAGTAGCAGGTAATTATAATATCTGATTTGAAAACTTTTTAGGCCAAGATACTTTGGGCAGAGTTTTTGGGTTGAAATTCTTGAGACTCAATGAAGTATTTGTTGTTTGCATTAGAGCAGAACCCAAACTGCTATTGTCTCGAGAGGGGTACTTCAGCTTGGAGCCATCCATGCTCTTAACATTTGTCACAGAAAAAAATGGCAGGATGAGTCAATAAGTGAGGCACTAAGGATTTCTTTATGGACAACAAAGAAATTCACATTCAGAGGAACTGTGGGCAATCCTCACCTCTCAGGAGTTTAATGCCAAATATAAAAGTAATTCACTATTAGTCTTGTGAAAATACATCCATAATACAGGTGATGTGGCCAGATTTGACTCTCTGATTATATATATAATTTGGGGGGCAGCAGTGGGGTGGCATCCTAAGTAGATGAACCACAGTTAAAATTTTGTTGATTTGGAAAATGTTTAAAAATATTTTTGGAGATCAAATCTATGGCAACCAAGTTTCATGGCGACTACTCTGTATCTGGAGGTCAGAATATTCTTCTTTGATCAAATATCCTTAGACATAATCACCTGTGGGAAAAGTGTACAAGTTCCTCATTTGGGTGGCATTTTAATTAATAATATGTATAATCTTTTAGAAGTATACATTCAGTGTTGCTTTTCCTTAACCAAAGAAGCAAGTTTGACATAACTTGTCTCCATAGTGAGGTCTCCATTACTAAGAGTCTCTCCTCATTGGACTGTTTTAGTTTACCTGTCTCACTACCTGAGAAAAAAATTAGGTGGTCTTACTCTTCTAAGGCAAGAACTTTTCTTAAACATATCAATTTTCAAACCAGGTTATTACTTTTACATCTTCTTGTATAGTTTTATAAGACTTATGACTTATTTGAATCACAAACTTGCTTTAAAACCACCTATCTTTAAACAAAACTATACAACCACAATTGCTTCCTTTATTGCATATCCTTTTTTAAATTACTATGTCCTTTCTCCACTTCACTTTCCACATAACCACTGAAAGAATTGTTTACCCACAATGTGATTATATCCTTATATCCTGCTCACACTTTTTAAAAAGGTTCCTTGCTAAATTCAGAATATACTCAAAAGAATATTCGTATGTATAAGGTATAAAGAATAAATGTACAAATAAACAAATGAACCCATGTACCTAACTACCCAGTTTAAGAGATTACTAGTACTTTTTGAAAATGTCCCTGATCCCACCCCCCTGTGAAAACAGCATATCAAAAATTGTGGAATGCTGCTAAAACAGTAGAGAGACATCTGTACCACTAAACACCTGCATTAGAAAAGAAGAAAGTCAGGTGTGGTGGCACATGCCTGTAATCCCAGCTACTCAGGAAGCTGAGGCAGGAGGATTGCCAAATTCAAGGCTAGTCTGGACAACTTAATGAGACTCTGTCTCAAAATTTTCAAAAAAGTGGGGCTGGGGGTGTATCTCAGTGGTAGAACATTCCCATAGCATTGGTGATAACATCCTGAGTTCAATCCCCAGTATTACCAAAAAAAAAAAAAAAAAAGAAAAAAGAAAAGAAAGCTCTTCAAACTGATGAACTCAGCTTATACCTTAAGAAATAAGAAAGGGAACAGCAAATGAAACATAATGTAAGCAAAGGAAAGGAAACAATAAAGATCATAGTGGAAATTAATGAAATAAAAATGATAAATGTGAAAAGTGACATCAATACATATTATACCAATATTAAGATTAATAATAAAAGAATATTGTGAGCAACTTTATACCAATAAAATTAAAAACTTAGATCAGAAGTTGGAAAACTTTCTGCAAAAGGCAAGTTAATAAATATTTTAGGCTATGTAGATGATATCACCTCTTTTCCAACTATTTAACTCTCCTACTCTAACACAAAAATAACCACAGACAATACATGAACAAATGGGATGTCTGTGTTCCAATAAAACTTTACCAAAAACAGCAAGTCAGATTTAGTTCATGGGAAGAAATTTGATGGTCCCAACTTAGATGAAATGGACAAATTCTTGCAAGACACAGACTACTAAAGTCCAATAAAAAAAGAGGAAACTATAATATCCTTATATCTATTAACAATGAGATTGAATTTGTAGTTAAAAGCTGTCGCATAAAGAAAACTCCAGTTTCAGATGGTTTTACTGACAGATTCTACCAAACATTTAAGGAAGAAGTAATACCAATCCTACACACTTCAAATTTTTAAAAACCTTGAACAGGAAGAAAGACTTTCCAACTCATTCTATAAAGAGAACACTATTCTAACACCAAATAAATAAATATATAAAGGCATTACAAGAAAAAATATATAGAGACCTATACCCCTTATATAGACGTGAAAATTCTTACAGAATTTTGGTCATTCAAGTCCAACAATATATAAAAAGGCTAATCCATTTAACAGCATTATTCACAAAAGCCAAAAGGTAGCTGTGGCACAAGTTTCCACCAACAGATGAATAGATGAATAAAATGTGGTATGTACATACAATATAATAATCAATTATATTTCAATCTTAAAAAGGGAGGAAATTCTAGCTTATCCTACAACATGGATAAACTTTGATGCCATTATGTTAAGTGAAAGAAGTCAAACACAAAAGGACCAGTTGTATTATTTTATTCCCATAAGGTACATGGTGTGGTAAAATTCATAGAGAAAGAAAGTAGAATTGTGGGGGCAGCAACCCTAGTACTCTGGGTTCAATCCCCAAAACTGCAAATAAATCAATTAATTAAATTTCCATTTTCAAAAAAAAAGCAAGGGGATAGAGTAGGAATGGGAAGTTATTATTTAATGGTACAGTTTTATTTTACAAGATGAAAAATGTGTGGGTAGATCATGTAGTGGTTGTACAATAGTGTGAATGCACTTATTACTACTGGAACTATACACTCAAAAATTGTCAAACCATAAATTTTATTATACATATTTATCACAATTTAAGAATAATTTTAAGTTTTAAAATTTAAGAATAATTTATTTTTAAAAAATACAAATGCATTATAACTAAGTAGTTTATTCCAAGAATGTAAACTTGATTGAATGTTTGAATCAGTATAATTTACCACTTTAAAAAACTAAAAGAAAAATAATATGATCATCTCAATAGATGCAGAAAAAGCACATGACAAATCCAGTATCTATTCTTGATTAAAAAAAAAAAAAAAAACTGCAGTGCACAGTGACACAATCCTGTAATACCGACTACTCAGGAGACTGAGGAAAGGGGAAATCATAAGTTCAAGGCCAGTCTTGGCAATTTTGTGAGATCCTGTCTGAAATTAAAAAAAAAAAAAAAAAAAAAAAAAAACTAAAGGCTTGGAATGTAGCTCAGTGATAGAGCTTAGCATGCACAAGTCTTTAGGTTCAATCTCCTAATACTACAACAACAATAACAACAACAATAATAATAACAATAATAATAAATAATAAAAACTCTCATTCAACTAGATATAGAAGACAACTTCCTCAGCCTGATTAGAAAAAAAAATCTACAGCTGATAAAATATATAATGGCAAAAAATGGAATGCTTTCTATCTGTATTAATGAGCTTTTCTTTCCTTTTACAAAATACCTGAGGAAACAACTTAAAGGAAGAATGATCTATCATTTGTAACACAGTTTCAGCAGTCTTAGTGCATGGTGGGGTGGCTCCACTGCTGTGGGCTGGAGTAGGGCAGAACATCCTGGCAGAGAAGTCATGGTACAGCAGAGCTGCTCATTTTACAGAGGCCAAGAAGCCCAGGAGGAGGGGAGCTGTGGAGAAGGGCAGGCCTCAGGGACCCACTTCCTTCAACTGGGTCCCACCTCTCATATTTTCCGTCAATGATTAATCTGTTGACAGGATCAGAGCCCTCATGATCCAATTACTTCCTAAAAGCTCCATCTCTGAACATTGCTGCACTGGGAACCAAGCCTTCAACAAGTGAGGCTTTGAGAGAAATTCCAGATCCAAAATATAATGACATCTACGATTAGGAGTAAGTAAAGGATGTCCACTCTCATCATTTCTATTCAATGTTGTATTAAAGTTCTAGCCCATGAAATTAAAAAAAAGAAAGAAATGATAGTCATCCAGATCAGAAAGGAAGAAGTTAAATTGTCTTTATTAGTAGACTACATGACCATTTATATAGAAAGTTCAATGAAACTTTTATTTAAAAAGGCTATTCAGACTAACAAGTGAGTTTAGCAGGCTGTAGAATTCAAGATCAATACACATTAATCAACTGTATTTCTTCTATATGTTAGTGACTAACAGCCCGAAATTGAAATTTTAAAATATAATAGTAATCGAACTATCTGAAACACCTAGGGCTAAATCTAAAAAAAAAAGAATTTGAGAAACTCATACTAAAAACTATAAAAAATACTGATGAGATAAATTCAAGAAGACCCAAATAAAAGGAGAGAAATACTCTGCATATGAGGTGGAAGACTCAATATTGTTATCAAGTATCTCCAAAATGATCTACAGAGGT